TAAAGGCAAAAAAGTAAATTTGAGGAAAAAAAATTTAATGACTTTGGTATTACAAAAGTTTTCTTATAAGTTGAGTTTTTAAGTATGAACTCAAAACATAGAGGATTTACAACGTAGGCTTACAATGTCTTCCTGAAGAGTCAGGTATGACAGAGTACACAAAGGCTGTCTGCACCCTGGAAAGCCAGAGGTCCCGGTCCAAAGTCAAAGGCCTGGGGCTCACTGCAGAGTCTCATGCCAGTCCGTAATCCTGAGGCCAAAGGGTCTGGCTTGGAAGTCTAAAGAGTTAGCACTAGAAACCAGGAGTCAGATGTCCAAAGGCAATAGAGAAGACTGGAGCTTCTCTGAAGAAACAGAATCAAGACTTCCTTCTTCTTCCCTCTTTATTCCTTCAAGGCTACAAGCCTATTGGTTGGGGCACCTATAACCAGGATGGGTCTTTCCTCTTCAGTAAGTCACTCATCCAAACACACCCAGTACTGTGTTAAACCAATCTGCTAGACATTTCTATTCATGTTAATACCATAACTATCTATTACAAACTGTAATGAAAAAGTACAAGGAATCCACATAAAATTTCACTAGAATTGCAAATTTCTGTTTATCAAATAATATTATTAATAGCCTGCAAAGGTACAAAGGTAGGAGATGAAATGGGAAAAGATGTTTGCAGCACACATTTCTAGTAAAGGGCTTGTGATGCAAAATATATTAGGCATTATTTATTTCTAAAGAACAACCAGATAGCACAACACAATAAAAGAATAGCCAAGAGATTTCAAAAAGAACTTCAAAAATGAGACATACAAATGACACATATATGAATATGTGTACAAATTAGTATTAATAAGAGAAGTTAAAATTAAAACCGGCACTTCAAAAATGAAACATACAAATGACAAATAAATATATGAACATATGTACAAATTAGTACTAATAAGAGAAGTTAAAATTAAAACCAGCAGATTCTGTTGCATTCTCACCAGAAAGATAAAAATAACAATTTTTTTTTTAAATTAAAACAACAATCAAAAAGATATTAAGTGATTGGAGGTATGATTGGTGCTGGTGTAAACTGGCAGATACAGTTTGGAAAATGGTTTGGCAGAATATATCCAAGCATATCCTGCGAACTCTTAATTCTACCACTATGCAGAACAGAAATGCACCAAGATATTCTACAAGAATTCTCTAAGAGTAACAGCTGAATTAGAAAAATAATAGTTATCACTAAGGAGGATAGAGGGGACACTGATAGCAAGAGAGCATGAAAATGTTCTTTTGGGCTTTGATAATGTTGCATTTCTTAACCTAGGTAGCAACTGTAGGGTATGTTCCCTTTGTGATATTTTGTGGAGCTATGTAATTGTTATTTTTACCCTGTTTTTCTTTTGATCAATAAAATCAAATTTATTAAAGTGTCATGGAAAGGCACTAGAAAAAACTTTGGTTAGTGGATATGTTAACTGTTTCCTGCGGTGCTCATTTCATGGATGCATATATGGGTGAAAAGATAAAATATGTTTCTTTAACTAAATGCATATTAGTATTTGTCAATTATACCTCAAACCTGTAAAAATGAATAAAATCATGTAAAGCTGAGGTTAAAAAAGAAGCACACTGCCTTAAGTAGAAATTTAAAAAACTAAGCATTCATTAGTTAACCAATAGTCTTGATAGGTTAGAAAAGCCAAATTTTATAAAAATGAGTATAGAAAAGAAAACCCCAAGATCAAAATTAAAAAACACTGACCATGAACATACCACAGGGAGCATCAGCAATGTCAAATATTGGTCCTTCTACAACAGTAATGAAATGAAACATCAGTAAGGAAAGTCATATGGTAATTATATACTATACAAGGGCAATGGATAAGCATGGTCATGGCTCACTTCACAAGGAGATGCCTTTAAGAAATACATAGTCTGGTGATTCTATAAAGGAGCCATCATCACAGCAGGTGCTTACACCCTGCTAGAGTGCACGGCCCACTATACACCGAGATGACATGAGATGACATAAGATGACACACTGTAACCACTCTTGCATAGGAAGTCCACAGGAAGCACAGTTTCATAGTGCAGAGCATGGCTGTGTCATAATGCTATCATAATTGGTATAGACCTGGCAATGACACAAGTAAAGAAATCTGCATAACTAAAGACAAAATCCTTAAAAATACAGCTGCCAGTTACACACTGTGAATGTAATATATTGGGCTGCAGATAAGTAGGAAAATGATAACTTTTCCAAATGAAAGCTGATGAGATGATGGGGTATCTCTGTGGCAACAAAAGAAAAAAAAGAAAAATGCAATTGTAGCCTTTGCTCTTCATATATAATAACTTTCTGAGGTAGAAGATAAACAAATATAAAAACAACCTATAAAACATTCAAAAGCTGCAATAGGACAAGAAATATTTTTCAAACACAAAACAATATTTAAAAAGTAAATATTCATAAATTGTATTACATGAAAAAAAAGGCCATTAAATGAAGTTATTAAGGAGTACAAATAGAAATGGGGCAGTAGGAGACATCATTTCCTTTCATATATGATCAAATATTTTTAATAAAACAAGTAAAGACACACACCCTGTCACAAAACAAAGGAAGCAAAAGGCTTGAAAAGTCTCTTTGTGTAGGAAATATCTAAGTTTTCAACAGTCATAAAAATCTTATCATCTTTAGAAATTAAGAGAAATGTATTATAAAGTCACATCTAATAGACAAAACCAAAGAGCACTGATGAACATATGGAACAAATGAACTCTAGGGAAGATACAGTTGTTATTCTCTTTCCGGGGAAAACCTTGGCTACTGAAGATAAACAATATTTACCTACACCAGTGTCAAGGGATATGTAAAATATCCCTAGATAAGGAAATGCCTGCAGCATTTCTTAACCGAAACCCCCCACTTGAATTGGGCCAGATGTCCAAACTAAAATAACAATTACCATGCCTTGCTAGCAAAAGTAGCATAGACCTGAAGCTTTCTGTAAATCACATTGATAGAAAAACAAAAGTTTTAAGTAGCTTAGTAGATTGAATATGAAGGTATTCCTTTAAGATTTGCTTTTCTCTTTGCTCTTAATGTTTAAGGTGTTAGCCAGTAATCTAATTATAGATAACATTTTGACCTAAGAAAGTTGCAAATGCCTAAGTGAATTTACAGTATATATGTGCCTATCCTGTGTCTGTGACTTGTAGGTAGGAACCGGAATTGTATTTACACATCAAAGACCACAAGGAAGGAGACAATGACCAACAAAAAGTATAAAGAGAAGAGACTAACAAAAGAGGAGGGGGACTCTGACCAGACCAGTTTCTGGCAGTCCCACAGGCTTGCAAGTAAACCTTATTTGTTTTACCTGAGTTCTGTGTCTTCGAACATTTCTTTCCGAGATTTCCATAACACCAGCACAGATAAAGAAATTTCTACAAATGTGTACCATGATAACATATAAAGGTACAGTAGCATTAATTTCAACTGTTAAAGTTTAAGAAGTAGGGGAAGAGGAGATGCATTAAGAAATAAATAAATAATAGGGTGTGTGTTACCTTCTAGAGGCCAGCAACATTCCAACTCTTATATGTCTAGTTTAACAGAGCAATTAAAAAAAACCTAAATTTTACATGAATGTCACACTCATGTAAAGACTCAAATACACATATAATATTTGTAGATAATGAAACTCATTATTACAAAGGTGATTATTTTTTCAAATTACTCTACATTAGCCCATTAAAATTTGAACATGCTTTATTTTTATGGAAAAAGCAAAGAAAAATTTAAAAATTCATCTGGGAGAGTAAATATATGTTTATATCTACTTCTGTATCTTATATACATACATACATAGATAAAATTAGCCAAGAAACTTCTGAATTATGAAATCAATAGGAGTAATGATCATTACTTGTACACTAGTGCATATCATAAAACTGTATTATTGCAATAATAACAAATTATCACAAAACAAAATCCACAGAAGAATCCATATGGATGTAAGACTTGTTTGTTTTGGTAAGAGTAGCAGAGAGGCTTACACAAACCCAACCATATCAGGAATGATATCAAATGTAAACTGACCAAACGACAGGTGGTGGGGCTGGGCACATAGCTCAATCTCAGAGTGGACACCCAACATGTATGAGGTGGTAGGTTCAATCTCCCACAGCAAAAATTGCAGATGTTTACAGGAGATGGGGGGGGGGGGGGCAGAGTCACTGTGTCCTTGAAAAAACATCTACTCTTGTTTCAGGTTCCTCTGAAAGGCAGGCATAAGAGAAATGACAGACTTCAATGTACTGGGTGCTATGGTTTATGTCTCAATGTCACCCAAAGCCTCATACACTCATAGGGGTAGATCATGGGGATGTGATACTCAGCAGTGGACTAGTCCATTAATGAGTTTATAGCTAAATGTGATGTTGGGAGGTGGAGCCAAGTTGGAGAAGGTAGTCGCGAGGGTCATGGCTGGAAGGGTCTATCTCTCTCTCCTCCCTTGATCTCTCTCTGCTTCCTGCTGTGGTATCATGAGCTGTTTCTCCTCAGCCATGTTGCCCTGCCTTGGAGCCAGCTGACTATGGTCTGAAGCCTCTACAAACTGTGAGCTAAAATAAACCTCTCCTTCTTTAAGTTGTGGGTGTCAGGTATTCTGTCTCAGCAACACAAAAGTAAATGAGACACTGGGCAACTAAGAAAACTAGCACACCAAAGCAGGAGGAAAGCCAAGGCACACTTGGGCATGAATCCTGCCTCAGACAAAGCACTATATAGAAATTGGGAAAGAATCTCCAACACTAAGCATCAACCTGACCATATATAATAGCACCCTAACTCTAAAGTGCCCTTATAGTCTGGATTGTAATCAACCCACCCTGGGAGAGAAGGGGAGTAGTTTCTTTAAAACACACACAAAAACACCACAAGTTTCTTTAGAACATAAAAAAAAGTGATGGTTTTCTATGGTCATGCAAGTACTTTCACATACTTCACTCCTAGGGATCAAGGAAAAGACATGGCAGCTGTGGATGCTGGTGTCAAGCAGCTGACCCCAGGACCATGGAAAAATGGACGGCTGAGAGTACATCACTCTGTAAAGCCTTGGGAGAATTCAACCCAAACACATTTTCGTCAAGTGTCTGAACCTAGCAAAGACAAAAAGAGGAAATGCATAACAATTTCTTTTACATTTTTTTCTCATGTGAAGTATTCACAAGCAGAAATCAAATTCTTTTTTAAAAATGTCATTTAGAACTTAGAGAAAAACAAATGACAAAGTACTATGTCTGTTTGAAATGTATCATGGGAACAAATAGTTGATATTGTTGTGAAGGGCAGATGCTTTTAGGAATACAGGCAGGAGGTGAAAGCTTAGACATTTAGTTCCAAAAACGGGGGGCTGTTTGGAGAACAGAGTTCTGAATCAGAGATCCTGCTAGCCACACATTTAGAAAGATCAGTATCAGGTGGAGACAGTGGTACACACCTAGAATCCCAGCATTCTGAAGTTGAACCAGGAAGGACACAAGTTCTAGTCTCACTTGGGGGGAGCATAGTGAGACTCAATCTCAAAAAAAAAAAAAAAAAGGCTGGAGATGTAGTTCAATGTGAAGGCCCTGAGTTCAATCCCAAGAGAAGCAGCCTCTCTTCCGTCTTGCTACACTGGGCCCCCTACTCACCATTTCTTGGCTTCTGGAGGTCTGTTGCCCTTCCTAGGAACCTCTCAGCACCTGCAGGTCACAGAGCAACAAGGGCAGCATTAGAGCCACTGAGTTTTTGAGCAGAGGAGAGGGTACCTGGTTACTGGCCCCAGACTGGCAGGCTCCAAAGATAAAGCCTGTGTTTTGGGGAAAGGCTGCTGCTCTGTCCTTTCTGGCTCTCTGCCTGACAGGGAAGTTTCTTGGCCCAGGCCCAGAATGGATGGGCATTCAGACTTTGAATGCCCATCAGTACCCGAGGGATAGGATGTGGCATCCAGGTAAGGTCAGAAGGGCAGGTCACTGCTGCAGCATTTTCTTTGGGGTCATAGGGAAGGAACACAGAGCCTTGGGCTGCAGCTATTTTAAGGCAGGGCTTCTACCTTTTGGTGGGACCTGGCCCATTATGGGGCTACTTCTGTTTAAAGTATCAATATATCATTTCTAAACATGTACAGATTATTGACAAATGGAACCACTACAATGACAATTATTTTTAAATTTCACTTAACTTTTCTGGTCTATGGTCTTGGAAGGCGGCAGCTTGAGCTATGAAACATGAAGTGATCCTGTGAGGCAGTAGTGTCCACTCCAATTCAGTGTGAGGCACAGTGTCATTTTATATTTTCTCATATTCACTAGTGACTCAGTCTCAGAGCCATGGTGCTTCTGTGTCCTACAGTACTTGCCAACCCCTCCTCAGCCTGTTGGTGTAGCCCCCCTTGTTCAGGAGCATATTCTGTCACACAACTCCTCCTCTTTAGTGCCCAAAGAGAGCAAGCCCGCCAGACTGGGCCATGGAGGAACAGGCAGGATCCTTGCAAACAGAACTAGTGTTCTTCACTTCAGAACTAGGAAGTTCACAACTCGGCCTCAGGGGAGCCCTCTGAGGTCCTCATACCCTAGGCCCATGCATCTTCTGACTGGGCCCCAAAGAGGCAAGGTATAGTCCAGACTTCCAGGTGGTAGCTGGCAGTTCCCTGAAGGACCAGGGCATAGAAAACATGTTTCCAATCCTGTGTTCTTATCTGGGGCCAGGACTAGAGCAAGGAATTCCTGCTGGGGGAGCAAAATGTAAAATACTACCAAAAAACTTATCAAATGAAAATTATATTTAAGAAAAATTAATCTAGGTGTGGTGGCATAGGCTTCAATCCCAAATATTCAAGAAGGTGAAGCAGGAGGACTGCAAGGTTGAATCTATCCTGGGGATAAGAATGACACTGTCTCAAAATAAAAAGTGAAGAAAAGGGGTAGGGTGCAGCTCAGTAGTACAGCATTTGCTTAGCATTGGTGAGGTCCAGAGTTCATGCCCCGGTACCATGAAAAAAAATTTTTTTAAACAGGTAAAACTGATTGTAATAACAAGGTATGGCAAAGATGTTATCATAATTGTGTGTATTCAACATAAACTAATGAACTATATCTTTTGATACTATATCTTCAAAATGCACTGTATTGTGAGACTCCAGCACATCTCAGTTCAGAGCAGCCACATTCTAGCTTCATGATTTATGAATGCTTTGGTGCCAGAAAGGTGAAGGGCCTTAACTATTCCCAACCCATGCCAAAAGTGAGGGAGCCAGGGAATGCCCCATTTTTATCTCTATTTCTCCTCAGGCCCAAAGCTGGAGAGAGACACTGCCAGAGAGAGTGCAAGGAGCTCCAACCAGAGAGTGGGCAAAGATAATCCACTGCTTTCCATCTACTCCTGGACACAGGACCACTTGCTTCCAGAGACAAAGGAACAGAGGAACAAAGGAAAAGAGGAACACAGGAGGAGAGAATCACATCACTTCAGATCTGCCCACAGCCTTGACCTGCACAGTTTCAACAGACTAAAGGCAAATTTCTTATTTTATAATTTGTCCTTGGACCTAATGATCGGGCTGTGGATGTCTGTCTCATCCTGTGGTGTGGGGTTCTGTATACTTTGAGCATCTATCATATGCATAATCATCTATATGCTATTTCTGTATAAACTGACACCACCTACCAAGAGATACAACTTTATAGAAAAAAGAAATGATTACCTATAGTGCAACCATTGGTTTCCAGGTAACCATATAATGTCATTGAATCCTGGCATCCTGACTATTGTGCATGTACCAATTACTTATTATTAAGTAACAAGCCACTCCAAAACTTACTGACTCATGATTGTGCTTATCAATAATTTAAGTGGTCTCAGCTGGGGTCCTCCTGGTGCATGTGCTTACCTGGTGGTTGAAAAGTGGCAGCTTCAAAGAATTAGGTGGAGGTAAAGGAGGGCACCTGATTCTCTTCCCTGTGATATATTTATGGAGACTGCACAGCTCTGAAAAGAAAAGCAGAAACATTCAAGACCTTTCCAGCCTATGTATCACACTACTACTATGCTTTCATAGTCACAGCTTTATATGAGATGAGCCATAGCTATTTACTTAATATTTTAGATCAATATGGATACATGGATATTTATTGAGTTTTATACAATTTATAGACATTGTGGCATTCTGTCTCACTGTGTCTTTCATTTACCTCCTTTTATCCTACCTCATCCATTGTTTTAAAGCACATTCTTATTTTCTAACTATTAAGTTCCTCTAAGTTCATCTTATATTTTCCATCCCTGGCCTTAAAATTACCAATTTTTCTCATTAAGGTCTGGTTCCTTTTTTTTTTAAGACAATACCACCTATCTCAACAATTATATTAAATATGCACAGATTCATATTTCTGTTTCCAACTAATCTGGCACAACAGTGCTCACTCCAGCATTCTTTGCTTATTTACAATTTCTTAACTACAGGCTGTAATTGGATAGTAATTATCTACAACGCATTTACTAAATGTAGATTACGTTCAGAATGGCAAACACATGTTCTTGTGAGAATTAATTTACCAATTACAGAACAGTAGTTGTATACAGTTGATACTTAAAGTATTCCATCAAATGGCTATTTCCAAAGTTCCTTAGGTGAGGATATTTCATCATCAACCTCTTCCATATGGTTATGTAATATATTTCTAATGGCTAGGTTCATAGGTTTTCACCTTCAATCTACTAGAATTCTTCCAACATCCTACTCTATTTTTAAAATTTGAACACATTAAATTTCACTTTGTGTTATACAGTTCAATGGGCTTTGACAATTATACAATGTATTGGCCTCCATGCTTCCACCCTTCACTGTTTCATCACCCTAAACTTCCACTCAAGCTGTTCCTTTGTTGTAACCCACCTTCCCGTCCCATCATGTGACAACCACGGACTGTTGCCAAAGCTTGTAATTTTGCTTAGTCTACAAAGTCATGTGAATAGGATCACATAACCCTTCGCCTCCTGGATCTCACTTGTTCACTTAAGGAAATACTGTATATTGAAGACTCATCCATGCCATGCTAGGATTCAATGGTTTGTTTCTTATTATTGGCTGGTAATATTCACTTCTACGGAGGCAACAGTCTGTTCATTCACTTGTGAAAGGCCATCAGATTTCATTTCCAGCTTTTGGCAACTACTAACAAAGTGACTAGGAAATTTCACCACCAGTTTCTTCTGTAAATATTCATTTTCCATTTACTTCGGGAAATACCTGGGTGTCGGACATTTGGGTCAGAGTAATAAGTGTCTGCTTACCTTCATTAAAAGCTAATAACTAGTATATTATTTTCTGTTCCCCATTTTGTTTCCTTCAAATCTTATTTAGCAGCTGGTATTTGCTATTTTATTTTATTTATATTTTTATCATTATCATAGATAATTGGTATCTTACTGTGATTTTTGCTTCCTATCTTGAAAGAACATTATACTGAATACAGAATCCTGTATTATCATTTGGTTTTCTCCTTACCACTTAAAAAGATTTAACTCCATGGTTGATTGGTTTCTATTTGTGTGTGTGGGAGGGTGCTGTAGATCAAATCCAGAAATGTGGAGTGATATGCTAAATCTTTTATTTATTTATTTTTACTTTGTCAGAGTCTCAGGCTACCTTTGAACTTGTGATCCTCCTGCCTCAGCTTTCTGAGTGCATAGGATTTCAGGTTACAGCACCACTCCTGAAGTCTCTAGTGTTCTTGATATATATTACCGATCATTCATATTATATTCCCTGCACCAAATATGTTTCTTTTCTCTAGATCTTTTCAGATTTTCTGCTTCTCTTTGGACTTGCCTCCACCATGCCTCTTCTAACCATGGGTGGTGAATCAGGCAGCAAGAATCCACCTGCTGAAGAGCAGAACATGACACCTGGATTGTGGGTTTGTCACAGAGTTCAGTGACAGGCTCAACATGGTGACATCCAGCACCTGGTAGAAACTGAAGGTTCTATATGTGGCCCACAGACTACAGATGGAGCCTTTAGACCAGCCCTTGAGTCAGGAGAAGTATGCACTGGTAAGACGAACCTGAGTTTCAGTCTACACTACTTCCAGCCAGGAAGTGAAACCAAGGTATACCTGTCCTCCTCTTGAGATTATGCAAGATCCAGCAACTGTGAATCTCAGGCATAAAACAGTTCAGTGTCAGTCTAAGAGGCTGAGTTGGGCCCCATCATTCATTTTCCAAACCTAGGCAGCACAGCTACTGACAGGACAGTGCTTAGAGACAGCACCAGAGACCTGCACCCAACTAGAATGGACAACTATGTGAGCCTGTATACTGTCAGCTATGGTGTGGGCCTCAGTCACCCAAGACTGTACAATCCTGCTGCTCTGAGTCTAAGGTGTGACCACCTTCGGGTCAGCTTAGGTGGCCAAGGGACAGTTGTCATTAATATTACCCTAGCCTTGGGCAACATAGGATGACCAGAAGTAAGCACAGAATTTTTCCCTGATACTTGATACTGGGGTGGTAAGGCCTAAAACTGGGCACATACTAAGCTTCTGGCACAGCTCCAGTGCCAAGTGATGACAAATGACCTCAGGTTCTCAGAATCCTATTCTAACTGGTATTCAACTCTTGATGGATGCACAAATTTTGGGTCATGAGTCCAACTCAGAAACAGAAAGAACATACCAATGTGGGCTTGGTGATATTCCAGTGGTCTGCTGGTCTTGCTGGGCTGCAGGATCATGGTGTGATACAGCTTGGCAGCATTGCTGCCGAAAAATGTGACATAAGAGCCTGTGCCTCTTCCATCCACATTCACTGTGCCCAAACCCAAGCAGAATCCTGCAGTGCCTCACCACAGGTCAGTGTCTGTGAAGAAGGATCTGTGCCTTCCCAGCCACAGGGAGAGGCTCATGGGGACAGACTACTCTCCTGATTCTTTCTGGACAACATTACAGTAATGCATTCAGGTAACACCTGGGGTTACACTCCCTCCTAGTATAGAAACAATGACAGCACACAAACAGCAGACTGCCTGAAAATTTGAACCGAAATACCATACAGAGCTGACATGGTGGAATCAAATACAGGCTAAGAGAAAATAAGCAACCAGTCTACAGTTTTGGGAAAGAGAAGCACATAAAAAGCCAGAGCAGTACTACTGAAATAAATACATAATCCTTCAATGCTCTGATGACACTGAATGCCAACAAGCATCTAGAGATTTCAGGTAAGTATGGTCTCACTTAGTAAGGTGCCAGAATCTAAACAGAAAGGAATCAGTCAGGAGAACTCTCAGACACAGAATTTAAAACAACTCTTTTAAGGAAACACAATCAGCTTGAAGGAAACATAAAAATATTTTAATAACTAACAGAAGATCTTCACAGAGATGGTATCAATTTTTTAAAAATCAAATTCTGGAGCTAAATACCACACTCGACATTTACAATATTACTGAAGACATCAATAGAAGAATAGGTAAAATAAAAGAATTAGCTCAAAGACAGACCCATCAATAAGTAACATTTCCTAGGCCCTTGCCTATCCTCTGCCCGACTCACATCTCCCTTCTGAAAGTTGATCCAAATATTCTAATAGCACCCAGTTTTTGATAGCTTCTGGATGGAGTACTATTATTTAAATGTTATTTACTAAGGGCAGTACTATCAATAATTATTTTGTCCATTCAAAGTAGGGACTTTTTCTGTAACACCACTGCTTCTGCTCAGAAGTGCTAATGAGAGGATTCAGGTCATAAGGATATACTTTAGAGTAGAATTCCTATTAATGAAGCTGCCTTCTTCGTACTGCACAAGAAGTAAACTGTCCCAAAGGAAACAATATTGGCATGTAGTGACCTAATAGTTTTGGTAGAAACTTTGTTCCTGGAAACAAGTCTTATAAGTGCTTGGCGGGCTATTTAGTGTAGATTGGGATCAGAAATTCCATAGCCAGAAAACACGTCAACCAACCCTACATGTTATGGCTTGTGTCTAGATGTCCCCCCAAAGTTTCATGCATTATAGTTTCATACTTCTCAGAGGTGGATGGTTCCAAAGTGTGTAATATTAGGATTAAGTGTGTGATGTGGGAATCAAGAGTGTGTAATTATAAAATTAGTCCACTAATTGGTCTGGCATAGTTCTGGGTGTGATAATAGGTGTGGATCATAGGAAGGCCCACCCTGGGTGTGAGTGCTTCCCACCCTAAGGGAGTCTAGCCTAGATAGAATATAAGGGACAGAAAGAGGGTTGCTACTTGTCCCTTGCTGCTTTTGCTGCCTCCTGTCTTCTGCCTTTCATGACATGAACTGCTTTTCTCCTCTGTGATGCCTCTCTGCCATGTCACCCTGCCTTGGAGCTAGCCAATTATGGACTGAAACCTCTATAAACTGTGAGTCCAAATAAACCTTTCCTCTTTTAACTTTGGATGTCAGGTATTTTGTCTCAGCAATGACAAAAGTAACTAAAACAGTACATATACAGCTACCACAGAGTAAGATTTAATTAGCAAACACTAGTATAGATATGTTCATTTGACACATGAGTAAACTGAATGTCATGCTGGTTAGTAACAAAACCATTCAAGGCCAGGGATTTAGCTCAGTGGTTCCGCCGCCTGACTTGAAGGTGCAAGGCCCAGAGTTCAATCCCTGGTACCAAAAAACTAAATAAATAAATAAAACACGTTCAGAGGCAGAGCTGGAAGTAGACTCACAATGCACATCTCCCAGCCTGTATCTGTCTGTAGACTCTACTCAACATCATTATCTTGGATGCCACTGCACCATTTGCAGAGCTTCTAGATGGAACCAGCATCTGTACACCTGGAAGAATGGAAGCACACACCCAGAACCACATTCTGAGAATAGATTAATTTACAGCACATCTATAATCACAAATTTTCCACTGCCTAGCCTGAGGATTGGATGCTAATGTCATCCTCCCTAACAGCACAGATCCAGAGATCACAGGAAAAAAAAACCCTATGAGATC